AACCAGTAAACTCACCCGAGCTACAAATATTTCGACACGTCACCCCCAACTTCTTGTTGGGCACCTGGTCTAGGATCACCCAGTCAATCTTCAGGTTAGTAGAAGTATGGAGCAGTGTTCCAGATATGGAGAACTGTGTTACGACCGAAAAAAGCTACGTGTTTATCGTGCCTTCCTGTTCATATAGTCGCTCGCAAACTCTTTTGAGTCACCAAGAAGCGCGAATCAATCAAGATTTTATGCAGTCACAAATCGTGTGATGATTGTCCGCTTTGTGGCTACGCGAGTGGTCGTTTGTAGATTAGCTGGGATTTAATTTGATTGGTATTTTATGATGAGGGTCGCGTCTTTTCATCCGACTAACTTGGACTCGGTAGGCTTGTTCAATTTCTCCATTCCAATAGTATTTTGCACAACAACCAGTCTTCTTATCCTTTGGGTGAAATGCAAAATACACGAAAAGTAGTATTTGCTACTCCGAATAAAGAAACAGAACCACTGAGGTCGATGTATTCAGCGAACCAATCGGAGGAAAGTCATTCGTGGTCGAAAGCAGCCAAAATGACGAAAGGATCAATAGGATTACCTACCAGCCAATGTGTATGCGATCATTCACACTGCGAGTAGGAACAACTATTCAGAAGCCATTCAAATGCTAACAGAATTGGGGGAGCTTTCCACTAAACCGAGAACTAATGATCTCCAAGCGAATGGCGACCGGATGCTTAAAGGCCATTTTTCAAGGTCAGCGACCAGATCAACTGCCATCTGATCAGCTTCTACTAAACTCATCCAGTCCCTCAATACATGGACGAACTTTTAAGCTTTTTAGTCCACACTAGTAATGTGTGCTTATTACGCTTCCGGAGTTTCTAGTAAAAGTGCGCGCAGAGCTTCTATATTTTAAGGCACCATCCTGCACATCATGTTGAGCGCTTCGTCGGTAGCCACAATGTAACCCGCCCTCTATCTGGGAAACACCAACACTTCATACCCGGTAACACTTTGAGGCAAACTATTGTGAATATTTTCACGACAGATTACATAAACTCCGCCTCCTTTTCCCAATCGTTCAAATCGACGATGGAGCAGTTTTGGTAAACCAAATTTTAAACAGATATAAAGACATTTGCATAGAGTAAATTTTTATAACCATTCGAAAAGCAAGCGGAGAATTAGCTATTTCGCTGCTGCTGGTGGTGGTAACAATGGTGCACGTCCGCTTTTTTCTCATGCGAATGGCCGTTTTCAAAGAGACATTTTAGACTTTAAACAGTTTTTCGAGCTCAGATATCGAGTGGGCCGATCTTCCTAGTTTCCGAACTCGGGCGCCTCATGAACTAATGGTTTTGCACCAATGAAACAAAGCCGTGAACAGTGGTGCACCATGCAATGGTTATTCTATTTGTATAACATAGTATGCCTGAGCCTGAGGATAAGCGTGACTTCAAATATCCACAAATATCCGCGTCTGCATGAGTTTGCCAACTTAAAAGTGTCATTTCCTTTTCTGTGTACGCGACGTTTCCGAAGTGCCGTAGCACTACTTCACTGTCTTCAGTCCGGGTTGCACTAAGCGCACTCTTCTTAATAAGGAATGACCTCGAGAGGCAGTTGTTGGCATGCATTTTAAGGAAGCCAGTCAACCATCCTGTAGTGGTCCGTTGCTGAAAAGCGACGTTGGTTAGCCTCCATGTTGGATCCATCCCCTATTCACCACTAAAGCGCTTGTGCCTGCTTTCTGTCACAGCTAGTCGTGTGGTCATTCACAATAAGGAGCACCCATCTCTCCCCATTCAAGGATTCATCAGTGTAATCGGCCGCACCGCCCGCGACATGTGGTATGTTGCATTCGTCCTCAACCAGTCATCTTTGACGTTATCATCAGACTTCCATGATGTAGTTCGCCCAATGCCCGGCGCACTGCTTTCGGTAGCCAACCGAAATGAAGCCTAGTTGCCTTCCACCTCAGCTGCTTTGTCGACAACGTAGATAAATACGCACTTTTGAAGGTCGAAACACCAGCACATTTTCAAACATCTATCCTCGATATCGATCGGGATGTTTTTGGCAACGTCCGTATTCCGTTCTTTCAAATACCGTTTACCTTATCTCATCTCATTTTCCGTCGAGTTTACCAAAAGGCTTGGATAATTTTAGATAAAACAGTCACGATTACCAATTGTTTTGTCTAATTGTGTACTCGCCTGTTTTTTCCGCGAAATATGTTTACCAAGTTTCTCCCTTTGCGGTATCCAGTTTGGTCACATACCAACTGCAGGCTCATGGCTCACTTAAACGCTTACACACTCATCATTATGAACTCAAACATGTCCTCGGAAGACGTCTAATCATTGTGCACAAAAATTCTTACTTCTGCCTTGTTTACTATTCCAAGGCATCTACAAATTGTCTCCTAACATAAATATTCCATGGAACCTACTTCAATAAGACCGCATCCATCCTGCAGCGACAATAGCGCTACACTAATCACACAACTCTCAACTTTTGACTGGTTTCTCTTATTCTTTCACAATATTCAAATCTGATCAGGCCCAAGAATGGTGAAACCGGTCCTGTATTCCCGAAGTACCCATGAGATTCACATCTCGTTTTCAATAGTACTCTTAGTCACACCGGTAATCTAATCTGATCTCACGCTCATGTATGTAGTGTTTTCACCACTCTAGTGGAACAGTGGAACTGCCTCAGCGTTCATATGTATCATGGTTTCACTCAACTTGCTAGGCACAGCAGCCTCACAAACACAAACTTCGAAACAGTCCATCCACTCCGACAATGATCTCCATCCCAGACGCTGGGCCCTCAGCAGACAGCACACTCAAAAGTAAACGATGGACGGCATTGGTGTAGCTGATGTGCCGTTCTTCATATCAGCATTATTTTCGCAAATGGGCTAGATCGAGTCAATAATAGAACTAAATCTACGGGCTATAATGATCAGGTTTATACGTTTGGCCAGAGATGTTTTGCAGAGCGTGGAAATTGTGCGTGATTTGGTGTCGCTTCGGTTGTGTACCTGAATGCCGCGCTGCCTCAACTTGTTCCAGCTTCTCCTTTTTATCGGAAAGCTCATCACACAGACCCGTTGAGCCGAAAAGCTGCCTTGTTTATTTGGGCCCTCTTCTACACTCTCGCTACTGAACTGTGTAGCACGCCTTGCTTAATAAACGCCCGGTATTTTTTTCACTATCCACGGTTTCCTAGTGAAACCCCATCCGAGATTTGTCTTAACATTCATTCGCTTTGTTATTTTTAGCATTTCATTCACCTTAATTGTAAATTGTCTTTCAACGTTGACCTCTGCTTCCTGGTAAAGATTAATGAAAGTGTGTTTACCACAACACTCGTTGGGCGGGCGGCATCTCCGGAGGCTATTTGCAAATTCCCAGTGAAGCAGACACTGGAATCTTGAATAAAGATCATGTGAATAGTGTTTTGCAAAGTTGTAAAGTTTGTCTGATGTCCCTTATGAATAATGCTAAAACACAATGATGACACTGCGAGAAAGGATATTGCCTTACCTTAAATCTTCCATGTTCCCATCTACACTTTTGGGTCTTTCCCCTCGCATACCTAGCCGGCTTCTTTCATGGTTGATCATAACACAAAATAACCATATGCTTACAAATTCTTCCATGTATGGAACACTTAAAATTCAGTCATATCTTAATGTGAAAAACCCTACCTGTCACATCCGTTTAGACTAATTATGCATTAAGAAACGAACCATACGTTTGAAAAATTGTCAGCACGTTTTCATGAAGGATACTACTCACAAGGTTGCTGAAAATCCTTCAACAGCCCACGAATGGTTTCGTCCTTCTTGGGACTCATCAGCTGAACACAGTCCCCGAGGTTCCATCAATCTTATGTTGTACTCGGACCCAAATTGAACTGCTTTCGAGAAATGCACTCATTTGCAAGTCAGTTTGGTTTTCACGAGAGACTCCATCCACTCTCTCGTTTATGATATTCTACGACTAAATGTGCTGCACGCAGGCCGCCTCATGTTTGAGTTGGCACGATATCCGAGATAGCGCAGTATATTTTCATGAAGGAAGCTACTCACAAGTTTTCTGACTAATTTTCGACAACCCGCGACCGGTTTCGCAATTCTTGGAGCTCATCAGGTCAGTCCCCGAGTTTCCCTCAACCTTATGGTCTACTTGTCAGCACCACTGTTGTTCTAATAACGCCCCTGTTTCATGTAGAAATCGCCAATAATTTAGAATTAAATGGTCAGATCATCTCTGGCATTCTAATCTTGAGAAACATGTTAGTTTTATTTTGGAACCAATTTTCAATCAACCCGCTCGAACTATTCGGTCAGCCCGGTGGGTAAATCTAACTACATCCAGTCCGTTATTTCAGTGCGCTTTTGCCGCACCTCCACTGTGATGTCTCCACAGTGTATCGTGATTTGTTGTCTCCTTTAAACCTTGTGTGTGGTGAAATTCCGGTTTCTGAGTAGTTTCACAAATACGTGTGTAGTGTCTACACGACATGACCTGACTCAAAACTGTTCATTGCAGCATTGCCTGCGAGTGTGTTTAGCAAGCGTGTCGTGAACGTCACAGGATGATTGTTCTGCCTACTTATCAGTGACAACAAGTGGCACACCGGGGGGCCAGATGGACCAAGTGGTTTGAGCGCCAATTTACTGACCGGAAGGTCCGTGGTTCGAACCCGAGCTATGCCCCTCGACTTGCTCTGTCTAGGCTTGGGCAACCTGGTGGTATCCCAGCCCTCGTAGTTCCTTCGTATGGCTGGCATGCCAGCTAGGCACTGAACGGGTGCTACAGCTAAACGATTTCGATTTCAAAGTGACACCGAGAAGAAGAACACTCGGAGCAGTGAATGTCGTGTTTTGCATGCGGTTCGCAAATGTTATCAGCAATTCTACTAACACAAGGCTGGATGCAATGCGGCTTGCGTTGACATTGTGGTCGTTGGTGTCTTGGTGGTGGTCGTTGTGATTATCGGAGTCGTGATGGTCGCCTTGGTGGTTTGCGTCGTTGTGGTCGACTTTCCAGTGGTTGTTGTTGTTGTTGTTGTTGTTGTTGTTGTTGTTGTTGTTGTTGTTGTTGTTGTTGTTGTTGTTGTTGTTGTTGTTGTTGTTGTTGTTGTTGTTGTTGTTGTTGTTGTTGTTGTTGTTGTTGTTGTTGTTGTTGTTGTTGTTGTTGTTGTTGTTGTTGTTGTTGTTGTTGTTGTTGTTGTTGTTGTTGTTGTTGTTGTTGTCGTGGCGGTGGTGGTGGTGGTGGTGGTCGGCGTGATCGTTGTGTTTGTCGTGTTTGAGTCTTCGCTGATTGGTTCGTACGGTTTCACCCCAAGCAGGTTTCCTCTGGAACAAATGCATCACTTTATTTTAGTAACCAATCCACAATTTGACCAAGGTAGTAAGTACATCAACTTCTACTGAAGCGACTAAAATGCACTCACGGTGGCGAATATCTGCAGACTGTGAAATAAGCATTGAGCCACTTCACACTGCCAGTAATGCGGAGCTCGGGGCACACACGCATGTAGCAACCTAAATCCGTTGTTCGCGCTGCCACAATCTGCAAAAGGAGAGTTCAGTGAGCATATAAAACTGTGCTCCGTTGCTCCGAGCTCATTAGCACCGAGCATAGTTACCTGGGTATAGTGCCCAACTGGGACGGGTTCGTTGGCTATTATGGGGCCGAATTTGTAGTGCTGATGTTCATTGAACCACCTTTCGACAGGACTGTGAAGTAGACAGAAGAAACGCTATATAATGATTGTTGATTGGGGTTGGAAATACGTAGTTTCTATTTTGATGGATTTCCTAAAACACTACCGAGATTACTCGTTTTGTCCATTTGATTGGCTCGTACATTGTCTTGGGAGGTTGGATTTGGGAACGGTCATCAGTGAGCACACTTGCTAGATAAGGGAGACAGCCCCAATTTGGTTTCCATCGTGCATAAGTCGTGCATGTTTGAGTTCTGCAAAGCCAAAAATGCGCTAGCTTCCCCAAACCATAGCCGACACAGACAAAAGCCTGTGAACGATTTTTCAACCAGTTATTCCTAGGATGTGCCAAGAATACCAGGACTCTGATAATGAAGTTGCATATGAAGGTGCGTCTGAGTACACAATGACTCTCTTAGGTTTAGATCACTCATGCTGAATTTAAAAATCAGGTGTTTTTAACAGTTTCGTCGAGATGTCTTCATGTCAAGGCTATCAGAGTAAGAAATAGGCCGTTTTGATGATTATGTCTCACAAAACAAAGAGTCAGATCTGTAGAAGACAAAGTAGTATTCATTTCGGAGATGAGACCTCAAGTTTGACGATCCAGGTACTTTTGACCAGTTATCTGAAGGAATTTACACAAGCTGAATGCAAAATGTAGATTTTGTTTGTGACGCAAACAGGATAACAACCATGGAAACGAAATTTCGGCTGAGAAGCAGAATCATTCAACCCTATGCCGAATTGCTGTCCTCCGTTGGTCCAAATTAATGAAATTCCGACTCGGTTGCATGTTCAGCTTTAAACGTATTTGACACGCAACTCGGCTGTGTCTCGTATCCTCCCAAGAAGTAGAATGATATCTTTAACTCTCGTCAATATGAATTCTAAATTCTGCATGTAGTGCATAAGCGACATATTTCATTGAAGCCCATCCAAATGATGAAACGGTTAGAAAAGTAGATGGTCGGAATATTGTTGTGCACATCGCACATATGGGTAGTGCATTCGAGAGAGCTCACATCAACGAATAAAGAAGGGAAGTCGAATGGAATTCACGGGTCTCACGTCACTCCTCTTTTTTGGATCTGTAAAGCTGAAACTGCGAATTTTCAAAGAAGTATTTGTTTCCAGGACTCACACTGAGAGTGTTCGAAAGTTCTGGTGACTCAGCAAGGTCTGAGATTTGGACACGTGCTCCTGGCTGATTTCAACACGTGCTCCGTAGGCTGGTAGTTTGTGTTAAGGGACGGTGATTTCTAAAGCCTTCGAGCAAGCTTTTACATATGCAGAATACCTAAGTGACAGTGAACTAGCGAATTAACCTCTTGCAAAAGTTCTGACAGCCACATAAATTGACCTCACTTCACGGGTCTTGATGGATGGGTTGTTATTGAGTCATACTGGTCGAGTGTAGGCAACGGCATTTTTCAGTCTGATTGCGATTGATTTGCATTGACGGACACTGTATGGTAGTCAAAACAGCCGGTCACCAACTCGATTATCTCGGCTGCTTACATCCTCTCTTATATCTCTGGGGTTGTATAAGGCGGAGTGGATCGCAATTTTCTAAGCATTTGTCATATTCCAACTCAGTTATCGAGTGTGTATCGAAATTTACGCAGTCAGGGTTGATTTTGAACTTAGCTGACATCCAAAGTCAAAGTGGCGAAACTTACTCGGGTAAATATCCCATTGCTGCCGCCAAATTTTCGCCCTGACCAGTACCGCCTTCGTGAGCAAACACACAACGCTCAGCCCATTGTCGAGCACTCTCCTTGAGGTTTGGATTCCAACGCTGAATTTAGAACGATAGAGACGGTGTTGAATGGAGAAGGCTAGGTTGTTGAATAACAATGAACCCAATGAATGATTCCATCGATTCCATCAAAAACAATAACGTTTTTTAGAAAATTAGTCTGCAACTCAAGCCAAGTCGACGGGTGAAATGTATGCCGTGTCGGTGTAATGAATATCATCAATCTGATGTAATTCGTGAGGTATCGTGTTAAAGGATAAGCAAGGCTGACTGCCCATCCCAGATGTCGATCGTCATAAATTTTAGATTGGGAGATCGTGGTAGTAAAGTGGAAAGCCAAATAGCGCGCCTGATTATTCTGACACACAAAGACACTTCAAGCCAAACGGTTATTAAATAACTGAGCTCAATAGACTTCGAAGACTCATATCGAGTGTGCCGTCGTGGGCGAGCCTGGTCAAGTCAAACGACAATATAAGTATGCAATTTTTTGGCTAATTTTTCGACGCCACGGATCTGGAATGCTCAAAATTATGACGTTACAGACTCACTGGCTTCTGATGATGCGTTGAGAGGTTTTAGTATTTTGAATAAGCAACTTTGCTTTGTGGACATGCAACCAATCGTACAGTGGCACTCTGAACAGGCGATTTGGTTTTTGCTGCTTTTGAGGAGAAAGTCTTCGTCTTGTCGATTCTAGAGAGTTTCTAGAATTTTCCTGCAGTGCTGCACATTTAAGGTACAAGTGAATGAAGAGCTCACAGAATGCTTTCGGAAATTTTCCTGCCATCGTTCTACGTACTCGGTGCGATAATGACAGCCATAGATAGAAAGCGCATTTGTCTGCCCGCTGATAATAATAATCATGGTTACTGAAATTTATATATATAATATATTAGGGGGAGCTGCTGCGTTCTTGGCCTTTCTGGACCCTTGCTTGAATCGAGCTAGCGCTGACGAATCCGTCAATCGGGGTGTCTACAGAATCCCATAATTGTTAGGTCAGCAAATGCTCGGTGCCAGTGTTTCACATCAAGAAATTTCAAACGGAACACGGAAAACGCACGCCAGAATCCCACCCGTCCCCCATTAGATTGTGTTCTTAATGAATTACAACCTGAAATAATTGGCGTGTACTTGGCGTTTGGGGACTAGACACAGTAACCCTAAACCTGCACCTGAGAAACTGCTCTTAATGGAGCACTACTTCAGAAGCGACAACACAATGACGCCTAGAGCAATGCCTAGTGGTGGCTCCAAGCCAACATACAGCGCGAAAGAACTGCACGTTCTGAACGTGTTTCCGAAATGAAAACCTGACAGTCAACTTTTGTTCGACTTTAGACTCCATTCATCCGGTAACTTCCTACATTTTTTTTAGTTTCACTCAAGGAGGGTTTCTGTAAACCCTGTGAGTTTGATTCTAGCTCACTATCAAATTGGTTTGGAATGAACAAAGATTTTAGATTTGCATGCAACAGGAGAAATGCAGAAAGAATGCATTGTAAATTTTTAACAAAAGTGTGTTCTGACGATGAAATTTACGGTGTTTACCAGTTTGCAGTTTTAGCCAAAATGTGAGGAGCAGTTTGATATCCTGTCGCAAGACGTCGTAGGTCACTGTTTGACTTTTTAGGACAACGTTAGTTGGTTGCTCAGTTCCTACCTTCAAAACATCTACTAAGCCTTTTGTCACATACATTCTTACATAGTAGCACTTGTTGCACAAGGGCATGTATGCCGGTACCCTCGGAAGTTCTTTTTTACCGAGTGCTGTTTAAGAGAACAATGTGATAAAGGTTGTTTATTATTCTACATTGACGGATCAGGGGCTTCTTCTCTGTGTTGCTGGATGAGAAGTTTGCTTGCATTATGACGTTCTTGGGCTTAAGACTTCTCACTTACTTCACAAGGGAAGATTAGTCCCGGAGATTCAAAACAGGTTGTCTGTTTGTTGACAATCGTACAACTATTTCAAGAGCTGTATTGCTCCCTACACAAGAGATATAAGCCGGCAACAGCCATTTAAACAAAGGCAGCGTGCTGGCGATTGCCTCTACAGTGGTTTAGTCATCTTGCTGTATGCACTGGTCCCCTTCGTTATCCATAGTGTGATCAAGCTGCTCAAATATCTGCCTCGTGTTACGTCCCTGATGGTACAGAAATAGGACACCCAAACTAAACCAAAGTACCCATTATGCAATAAAG